TCCGCCCCTGGGCGTCCCGGAGACCAAAAAAGCGCCAAGACGCGCCAAGAGTGCCCCAAGCAGGCCCAAGAAGAGGACCACGAACCTACATGTCGAGCCTCCCGCCCCAAAAAGCCCCCGGAAGGCCCCAAGAGCCCCTCAAGGGGCCCGAAAAGGCCCCCACGAGACCCCCCACAGGCCCCCACCCACCCCTCCCACAACCGTCCACCCCCCCAACCCCCCCCCAACCCAACCAACAACAAACCCAAACACAGCCCCCAAACAGGGTCAACAAAATCATCCAAAGGAGGTCTTTCAACCACAACCCAACACGTGGCGGGAAAGGCCGCGCAGGCCAAAAGGCTCCCGTTTGTCTCTACTACGACTCCATCGGCCCACCTGGGGAACATATCCTCGTTTTCTCCTGCCCCCTTCCACCTTAATCCCCCCTCCTCCTCCTCCTACCTCCTCCCTCCTCTCCTCCTATCCTCCTCCCTCCTCCTCCTCCTCCTCCTCTTCCTCGTATTTCGTCGTCATCAAGGTCGGCGGCATGGGGCCCGGGCACCGGCGCCGCGCAACCAAGGCCGCAAGGAAGTGGGCAACGGCCGCGGCACCGGCGCAAGGATTTAGCAATATCCGTCGTAATCTTCACCAGCATCACGATCATGCGCATCATCATCAAGAACAGCAAAAACTAACATCACCATCATCATCTACAAAACAGCAGCAGCAAAAGCAGACATTATCATCATCAGCATCACCATCATCATCACCATCCGCAGCAGCATCATCATCACCATCATCGTCATCACCATAACCATCATCATCATAATCACCGTCGTCATGAGTCTCCATCGCGGCGACGCTCGACAGCGATGCCACCCAAAAAAGGAGAACTGTACCCAATCGACGTTGGGTGAAGCCGCGGCCAAACGTTTCTGTGTCGAATCGCCAACCCACCACGTCAACCGACGCTGGCGGGTGTCGCGCCCAACCCGGCACGTCGACCGACGCTGGCGGGCGGCGCGCCAGGGCGCCGGCCGGAGCACCTGGGTACCAGAACCCCTTCGAAGGTGGCGGGCGAGAGAAAATGAAACCGCGACCGCGGACGCGCCCGACGCACTATGGTGACCGGACGCGCCGCGCAGCGCGTCGCCCTCAAGGTCAACCAAAGCTGCGCCAGGGGAAGCAGAAGACAACACCCTGAGCGGCCGCACTACCCCTGGATTGCCACTATGGGCAGGTAGGGGGCCGCAGGCAGAAAGGGAGGTAGACAAGGGAAGACACCGACGCACGGCCGCGCGGCATGCCGGCAGTCGCGGGAGATACCGACGAACGACGCACGGACGCTGGAAGCCTCGCAAGTCCGCGCAAGCGAAAGGGTTGTTGCAACCCCGCTTTCTGGCCCTCGCGACTTCGGCCGCGAGCCAGTCGCATTTCTACTGCGGTGCCGCAAACACGGCACCCGTCGCGGTCGACGCGCGCGCGCTTGCTGGACCTCGGCCAGACCGACCAGCACAGCCGATTCAACGAAATCGGCGCGAGTTCTGCGCCCACGTCGACGTGGATAACAGGAGCGGACATCCCCACGTCGGCCTTCGCCCACCCAGGCGCGCGCGCGCGGCACCAGGTCGCCCCGAGCACGCACGCGCGATGCCGCCTGTTTACTTGCCGCGGTCGCGCGTTCCAGCGCGCGGCGGAGGACGCCCTTCAGGGCTGCTGAGCCCACCAGTTCTGCGATGCGCATGTTCGTCAATTGTGCTGGCGTCTTCTGGCTGTTCTGCGCGAAACACTCCACCCCTGCCTTATACTCGATATCCGACCACTCCGCTCCAAACACGGGGTCCTGTGGTAGGAAACCAAACAGCCCGACACCCGCCATGGAGGGTGAACAACTCGGCTTGACGAGCTGAACAGCCACCCGCGCGCACGCGACGACTGAATCGCAGCTCCGAGAGGCGCCCGCCGCGGGAGGAGAATGCAAGCGATGCGCGCACAAGGAGCATGCCGCCAAAGCATGGTGGTCGCCTGGAGCACTGGACATTAGACCATTTATGAAGGCGCAGGCAAGACCCTCCTGGCAAGCACTGCGGCCCTCAGGACCACAATGGGCACGGACAGGGATGGGTCCTTGGGCGCGGCTCCAGTGGTCACGACGAAAACGTTTAGGCCACCACGGGCCCGCCCGAAAGTCTGCCATGGGAACATGAAAACGTAAAGGGCTTCCGTGGTGGACTTAGGAGGAACCTGAAGAACGACCGCTAAAGGCCCGTACCGGGTTTCCGGCGCCAGAACGGTCCGACACAGGGGTCCGCTAATGGACTTGAAAGAACCCAAACAGGCTTCCGTCGCAGACCACGATGGGCCCTTCGACTTCCTGCCGCGATGGGCACGACAATGATCGCCCAGGGCCACTCTGGGCCGACCCGGAAGGACCCAGATGGAGCTAGGAGAAGCCCACGGGGCGCCAACCCCAGCACCGCAGATTCCCTGAGACGGGCGCAGAAGGGAGCAAAGGGAAACGGACGTGGCCACTCTGGACCGCCCCCCGAAGAACGCGGACCACGATGGGCCATCCCGAAGGGGAGAAAACGAAACCGCGACCGCGGACGCGCCCGACGCACTATGGCGAGCGGACGCGCCGCGCGTCGCCCCAAACGTCAACCAAAGCTGCGCTATGGCAAGCAGAAGACAACACCCTGGACGGAAGCCATACCCCTAGATGGCCACTGTGGGCAGGTAGGGCGCCGCACGTATGACCGGGTACTTGATATCCCGCCCCGCGGCCAGGCGGCAGGATGGAGATATTTCGATCGTGCTCGGAAAGGGAGTGAGCAAGAGAGGACATTGACACACGGCCGCGCGGCATGCCGGCAAGCCCGCGCGGGGGCCTGGCCCGCCCGACGGAGCGGCGGCGCGCGGCGGACGCCCGCCGACGCGCTCTGCGACGCTGGCGGGACGCTCCCCCCGCGTCAGTCGACGAATGGCTTGCAATAACAAGTCCTTACCACCCATCATCATCACCATCACCACCATCATCATAATCACCACCATCATCCTCATCATCATCATCATCATCATCATCATCATCATCATCATCATCACCACCACCATCATCATCATCATCATCATCATCATCAGTAGCAGCAGCAGCATCAGCATCAGCATCAGCATCAGCATCATCATCATCAGCAGCATCATCAGCAGCATCACCAGCAGCAGCATCATCCATCATTCACGCTGCACCATTCACCATCCATCATCATTATCATCATTATCATCATCATCATCATCATCATCATCATCATCATCAGCAGCATCATAAGAATCACCATCACCATCACCATCACCATCGCCATCGCCATTGTCATCAGCATTATCAGCAACATCACCACCACCACCACCACCACCACACCCACCGTCATTAATATGATCATCATCCTCATCATCAGAATCATCAGCAGCAGCAGCAGCATCAGCATCAGCAGCATCACCACCACCACCACCACCATCATAAGCAGCATCCTCATCATAGTCAGAACTTTCAGTCCAGCATCAGTATGAGACTTATCATCCTCATCAGCATCATCAGCAGCAGCATCATCAGCATCATCAGCAGCATCACGATCATAGTCGTCGTCGTTGTCAACGGAATGGTCAATCGCCATAACCAACATTGATCAACATCGTTATCAGCATCATCAGCAGCAGCATCATCATCAGTATCGTCATCATCATCAGCATCATCAGCATCAGCATCATCAATAGTTTCATCTTCAGCATCATCAGCAGCATCAATAGCATCATCATCAGCAGCAGTATCATCAACATCATCAGCAGCCATCATCATCATCATCATCATCATCATCATCATCATCATCATCATCATCATCATCATCATCATCATCATCATCATCATCGTCATCGTCATCGTCATCATCATCGTCATGGTCATCATCATCATCATCATCATCAGCAGCAGCAGCAGCATCATCAGCAGCATCGTTATCCTCATCAGCAGCAGCACCATCATCATCATCGTCTCGGGGAGCGACGGCAGCACCGTGGCCGCGTCCTGCGTCGGCGGCAGCGACGACGCGTGGATGGATGATGGACGTGCGACCTGCGCCCCCCCGCCGACGCTGGAGCGTCGGCGCGGCGGCCGTGGCCCGGTGCGGCGGCGGCGAGTACGACGAGCAGGGCGGCCTGCCCCCCAACCGCCGTCGACGGCTGGTGGAGCGCCGGCGCGGCCGTGGCCCGTGACGCTGAGGACGACGCCGACGACGACGAGCATGGCGACTTGCCTTCGGTCGGGCATTGCCTGCTGCAGGCAGATCTTGGAGGAGGTATTCAAAAATAAAAAAAGTTCGGAAATAGTCCACAATCGAAGACTCGTCCCCATACTATCTTTCGACTCTTTGGGAATTCTCCCCCTATAGAGGTGCAGGCCCGACTGAAGACTTACCCCCCATGATCATCGACTGGTGGAGCGACGGCACGCCCCATACTATGTCTCGACTGTTTGGGAATTCTCCCCCTGTAGAGGTGCAGGCCCGACTTAAGACTTACCCCCCATGATCATCGACTGGTGGAGCGACGGCAGGCCCAGGGCCTACCGCAGCGTCGGGGCCGTCATCAGCTGCTGCTGCTGCTGCCAACTGAACAATCGAGCGCGGCGGTCGGTGCCGTCGCCGGCCTCGTCCTCTTCGCAGCCAGCCGCGGGCGGCGGGGCGCGGCCTTGGTCGGAAGGAGTTCGCTGGGCGCCGCGACCCGCGCCCGAGGAGTCGCGGCCGCGTGGCGGGCACAAGGGCGACCAGATGCCAAGCCGCTGGCCGCGGCAGCGACGCGGGAGATCTATCGGATCTCTGTACCCGCGTCGGCGCAGCACAGCTGCTCCTGCACGCGGCAGGAGGGAAATCTGCTCCAGCGGCTCCGAGACGTCTGGCGCCGCCACCGGAGGCAGGGTGATAGGGGGGATCGGCGCCACATCCATCCCGCTGTGGAGATGGGAGGGGGGGTCTTACTGACGCTCGGAGCCAGACCACGACTCTGGGCTCCCATCCAAGACCCGAGCGTGAGGAGCGGACACACGAACAGGTGGAACCACATGGTTCTCGGGGCCTGGCCCGACGCAGAGACGGCACGACTCGAGCGTCTGGCTTCACGGTGCCTTTTCTTGCCAGTTTGATTTGCAGGTCAAGACCAAGGCCAACGAAGAGGAGGAGAGGGCGAGCTTGTGGTGCGACCGCGCCAGCGTAAAGGCCATCGGTGAGGGCTGACAGTGGCGGGGGAATTCACGGTGAGGGTGGGTCTTGGGGTGAGGAGAGGAGAAGGGGACTCTGCGCAGTTACGGTCGCTCCTCATCCGCCTCCTCCTCCGCCTCCCTGCTGCTCCTCCTCGCATCCTCACATCAAGAATAAGTCAAAGATAATAATAAATACTACTAAGAATAACGAATAAGAGTAATAATTGTGGCGAGATGCACTCAAGAATTAATAATCATGCCTACAGTCAATCTGCATGTCAGACCTCCATGGACTACATAACTACCTCCTCTCCTGCTCCTCCGCCTGTACTTAATACTCCGCCCAATCATTGCCGACAATTCCTCCGCAAGCCTCACGCGGCACTACTACGACTCACGTCCTACTAATACGCATCATCGACTCCTCCTCCTCCGACTCATACCTGCCTCCTCCTACTCATCCTCTCACTGAGCCTCCTCCTCCTCGTCCTTATCCTCCTCCTCCTCCTCCTCCTCCTCCTCCTCCTCCTCCTCCAAGCTGCTGGCTCTGGCACGGGGCCTCACCATGGTTTACCATGGCTCGGGCTGTATTGTACATATATGGAAAGAGGGCGAAGGAGGAGGAGGAGGAGGAGGAGGAGAAGGAAGAGGAGGAGGAGAAGGAGGCAGTTACTATCTGCCAGGCACCTGCAAGAGGTGAGGGATGACGAGCGCCCTTGCCCTTCCGAAACAGAGCGCGACACCCCGACTGCAGGAAGAGTTAGGAAAAGGAGGAGGAGGAGGAGGAGGAGGAGCAGGAGGAGGAGGAGGGAGGGAGGGAGGAGGAGGCGGACGACGGTGGCATTGAGGCGGAGGAGGCCGAACGGCGACTCTGTGCCGCGCCGTGCGGGGAGGGGAGACCAACGACGGCGTCGACGAAGACAAGATCCGGGCAGCGGCACCCGCTGCAGGCCCGTCCAACCCTGCAGCCCCTACAGGGGGGTACGGGCCCAAGCCAGAGGCCCCATGGGATGTGGGGGGCAGCAACGAGCAACGGGCAACAGCTGGTGCCACAAGCCAGAACCTTAGACTGCCGCGAACACGACCCTGGGCACTTCTCCCGTATCCGTGCCAACCTTCTTTGCACAACTTCCACGTTGCCCTCCCATCCTCATCCCTCCTCACCCTCTTCACCATGTCATCCACATCTCCCGTCTCACCTTCATCTGATCCACTTCTCCCCCCCCATCCGTTGTTATTATCATCCTTCCCCTCCCCTCCTTTCCCACGAGAGAAACCTGCGTCTGCCCGACGGCAAATCCTGAGGCACCCCGAGTGCTCCACGTACACACTTGAACACAAATCCGTCCTCCTCCTCCTCCTCCTCCTCCTCCTCTTCCTCCTCCTCCTCCTCCTCCTCCTCCTCCTCCTCCTCCTCCCCATCGTCCTCCTCCCAGCGGGACCCCCTGGGAATCCCTCGAGTACGACATTTCGAAGAGCAGCGAACTCTGGAGAGCCCCTGGCGGGGCCCACGGGGCCCCGCAGGGGACCGTCGTTGCTCGTTGCCCGCTTCCCCGCCCCCCCGAAGTCCTCTGGGCAGCGTCCCTGCCAAGAGCACCAGCGACGGCGGCGGTCGCGGTGTGCCTCTGCTTCGCGCCTCGCGGAGGCGTTGTCACAGCTGGCCCTGAGCGCCGCGACGAAGTCCTGCTGGCTGCTGGTGCTGTCCGTCCTGACGGCGCGCGGCCTCCCACCTTCTCCCCGCCCCTCCCCATGTTCGGGGGCGCGCAAACGTGGATTGGCGGTCCATGGATTTTGCGCGCGGTCACCAGATCCATGGATCGGGGGAGGAGCCCTCCCCAAAGTGCGGCCGGTGCCGCCTCGTTCGGCGGCGGAAATCCGAGATTCCCAAAATGGAAACGGGATCCGTCACTAATCCACGCCCCCTTGATCCAGGTTTGTGATCGGCCTGACATGTACCCCCCTCCGAAAGCTAATCAAGGGCTGCTAAAACCGTGGCTGCTAAAACGGCTCTCCCAAAAGGAAAAAACAACTTCCCTGAATGAGGCGCGGCACGCGAAACAGTCAACGGGCTCCTTCCCGGAAGGACGAAGACAACTTCCCGGAGGTCGATTTTAGCAGCCACGGATTTAGCAGCCCTTGCCCGACTTCCGACCCCTCTCCTCCCCGTCGCCGTCCCGTGCCCTCCCCCTGCACAGGGGCAAGATGTGAGTACTGCACTCGTGCCTCCCCTGATGCTGCGCGATGCGGGGGCGCCCCCCTTCCCGTGCACGATTTTC